TTTTTTTTTTAAACTTTATTTATTTTGAGAATTTGCAACCACTTGCTTTTTACAACTTACAACTGCTTGCCTGTGACAACTTGCAACCACTTACGATATCGCTGAAACCAGGCGTCAGGGGAATGGGAAAAGGCCGTCGAAGTGGCTCAAAAACATGACCGGATACATCTGTCCACAACTCACTACAAGTATGCAAAGCACCTTGAGGCCATGGGTGACCTAACTGGAGCAATCAAGGCATATCAGCTCTCAGGCACACACAGGTACTATAACTCTATACACCAATGCCAAGGAGGAAACCACTCTTTGACTCTTCCATAACTTATGGGAACCGGTTAATTCCTAAGATGTGTATGAACAGACAGTACACAGTACTATAGACATTCCATTATCTTCTTTTTTTTTCTTTTTTGTTTTTTGGCCCTGCAAGAATTACCAGATAGCCTTTCAGACATCCCATTAGTTCCTTGGACCTCCTTCTGCAATACCCTGCTCAATATGCCCTGAGGTGGCCTAAGGGCCACACACTGGCCGCGACCCCAGTCTGAGGCTGCGAAGGCCTAAGGGGAGGAAAACCCCAAGTTGGCTCAGGGCCTGTGCGCCCGACAGTTGACTACGACCAACTGCCCAGCGGCCCAAGAGTCAAAGTCTGCATGCACCCAGCCCCGGCCGCCGGTCAGACACACACCCTTGTTTGTATGCAGGTACCAAGACAGCATTCAGACCAAGTGGAAGTCTGCAACCGTACGCGATCCAGGCCTTCGGCTGTGAGTCAATCTGAGCCACCATGGGAAACCTGAGGCCAGACAGCCTCGTCAAACATTACATACGACCCGGCCTCCAGGGAGTCAACATTCAGTCTTGCTATGCTGCCTTGCCGCTGGCTTGACGCTGGCTGTACGCTTAACATTCAGTCTTGCTATGCTGCCTTGCCGCTGGCTTGACGCTGGCTGTACGCTGGCACTGCGGACGACGACGCGAGACTGCTGCTGCACGCTGGCACCTTCTGCATTGGCTCCAGACTATGCTGACGTGGCGCAGGCCCACGCTGTCTTCAACATTGCTGATGTGGCGCATGCCACTCTGTCTTCATTGCTGACATGGCATGTGCCACATTGTCTACATTGCTGAGTTGGACGCGACAAGGAGGGAGATCAGGATCTGTGGATGATTGAGAGGGAACTGGATACTTACCTGCGGTTGATGTCGATACTGTGCGCTGCTGATTGTCTCCAACGTCTTCACGAGAGAACTGTGCCAAGTGGCACTTCGATCTGATCAGGACCTGTCACGCTCGTTACTGGATACTGTTTTGCTGACGTGGAGGAGAAGGGAAGCCCGGAGAAGGAGTGGGAACTGTTGGGCCACTCTCTTTGTGGTCGTTGATGGTTACTATCTCTTCCACCTTCTACTCTGTCTAATCCCCCTCCACTCTCTTCGCCTACTGGAAACGAGACATTGTATCAGAGATCGCATTCATGATTATTGGAGACATTGTTCAGAGTTGAGTCACTTTGTATTTTCGAAATCTGGCGAGTATCTTATAGACTGGGTTCATTATGCTTCTTTTTTTTACTTCTTCTTTTTTGGCCCTGCAAGAGCTACCAGATAGTTGTACCAACTGGCCTACCGGTAACTCAGTTGGTACACCCCTGAACTGTTGAAATGCATACTGGAGTTCGAAGTTTCGAACTCCACTCGGCAAAAAAAAACATGAAAAAAAAAAGAACTGCCAGACGGCCTTTCAAAGTTCAAACCAAACTGTACTATAGGCATCCCATTAGCTCCTAAGATGTGTATGGAGTACTATGAAGTACTATGAACATAGTAAACATACACTATACAGTACTATAGACATTCCATTAGTTCCTAAGATGTGTATGAAGTACTATGAACATACAGTATACACTATATATATATATATATATATATGCTTAACCTGATCTATCTTGTGGCTACTAGGTTACATAGCTGTGTTTCACAGACTGAGTATTATAGTAATATACTCCTGCTGATTGCTGTGAACTCTGGCTGTCACTCACAGTAGTTGATTGTTTGACTGTCGTTAACGTCCTCAATTTTCAATCCTGAACTCTTGAGTAGCTATGCTCTTCCCCCAAATAGAATGTATGGTCATTCTTGCTGTATCTAGATAGAAATTTGCCCCAAATACAGCTACAATGACCGACGTTCTATTCAGAGGACGTCAGTAGTTGTGAAAATGCTGAGCTGAGCCAGTCCGTTCTCACACCGAGTTTGTCCTGACTGAATTCTGGCATGCAATGTTGCCGCACTGATTTGATCGGCTGGTTGGATGAGGTAGAAGGGCAATGCTGAGCTTTTTTTTTTTTTACCCGTGGCGGTCAAGAACCAACAGGGTCGAAGCCTTCTAGCGGATGGCTCCAGTGAGTCCAGTCCATTGGTGGAGCGCGTCACCTGCTTGAAACCGGGTCCAGCATCCCTTACCTTATACACACAGTTACATCAGAAACCCCTGGGGGCGTTACTCAGTTTCGCTTGTGTTGTCCAAGTATACCCTCTACAACCAAGCCTCTCAGCTCATGCCCTGTCTCATCTATCCCCGAAGATCTAGTTTGACTGCAGAGCCTTCAGCGAAGACTATATTCTCACTTAGTATGGGTAGCATGTATCCGTCTCCCTCCCTCTACTGCACATCCTTCCGGCTAGGTAGTAGCGGCAGCTACGACTACTGCCATTCTGTTTGTTTAACATACAAGAAGAGCAAGATCAACTCACTAGGAATCGAACCTATGACCTGGCACCAAAGAGGTGGATCACTTAGGTGAAGTGAGCTGGGATGAAAGCGAAGCCCCGTGAGGGACATTCCCCCTCTCTCCCCCCCCCCCCCCCCCCCCCCCCCCCC